CCTTACACTTCATTTTCTCTAAATGTACTAATCAGCCACAAAGGGGTTTCCCATGCTAATCACTAAGTTATGCTCACTGTAAAAAATGTGTGACTTTCATTTTATGTGTATGGGTGTTCTCCTTGCATATTTATCTACGAACCACTTGTGTGCCTGGTGCCCTCAGAGCCAAAAGGAGGCACTGAATCCTCTGGAACTGGAATTAGAGACATCTGTGAGCTGCCATGTGGGTGCTAGGAATTGAAGCTAAGTCCTCTGGGAGAGCAGTCAGTGCTCTTAACTGCTAAACCATCTTTCCAGCCCCTATGCTAATATTTTTAGGTATCAATTGTGACACGAATTTTCTAGTAAAGGCCCTCGAATGTCAATTTTTCTAAGTTTTAAAACACATTTTAAAAAGTCTCAGGCAGCCGGACGGTGGTGGCGCACGCCTTTAATCCCAGCACTCGGGAGGCAGAGGCAGGCGGATCTCTGTGAGTTCTAGTCCAGCCTGATCTACAAAGGGAGTTCCAGGACAGGCTCCAAAGCTACAGAGAAATCCTGTCTCAAAAAACCAAAAGAAAAAAAGAAAAAGTCTCAGGCATAAATACTATATTAACTATTCTATAATAATACTGGAAATGTAGTTCTGATAAATTTACAAGTTCCTGGTTCACACTATTGAGTATTTTACAGCCATTTCCACAGCAATTACTAATTAGTACCTACTTCTATGAAATATTAAGATTATTAAATTATGATTTTTGAAATTTTTGTTCATAGTATCCAAAGTTGATAAGCATTTTAAAATCATTTATTTATCCCACTATTTTATAAGCTAGAGAAATGACAAATCTCCTATAGCTGATATGATCATATTTTTTCATAAATTCAAAGTTTCGCCGGGCAATGGTGGTGCACACCTTTAATCCCAGCACTTGGGAGACAGAGGCAGGTGGATCTCTGTGAGTTCGAGACCAGCCTGGTCTACAAGAGCTAGTTCCAGGACAGGCTCCAAAACCACAGAGAAACCCTGTCTCGAAAAACCAAAAAAAAAAAATCTGTGTGGGCCATACCTGTTTAAACCACCATATCACATCATAAAATGTAGTAGTATTATATTTTTTTGTGTGGATTATTTAGATTTCATTGTCTTAGATACCCCACATTTTATTTATCCATTAATTGATTGGTAAACATTTGAATAATTTTTACCATTTATCTATTATGAATAATGTTGCTGTAAATATTCAAGAACAAGGTAGTTTTCTAAAAATATTTTTATAAATTTGAGAATTTCATAAATAGAATTTTAATCATATTTTCATCCCTATCTCTTCCCAAATTCACCCCGCCCCTCTATACCCATTTCAACTTCCTCTTTACAAAAGAAAACATCCTAGAGTCTAGTTTGTGCTGCCCATATATTTCTGGGTCTTATCCATCCACTGAAGCATGGTTGATCTACCAGGAGCCACATCTTTAAAGAAAACTGACTCTTCCTCTCAGAGAGGTCATCAACTATCCATAGCTCTTCAGGGATAGGGGCTCATGAACCATTTTTTCCTCCATGCTAGGCCGTTGACTGGCTTGATCTTATGCAGACACAGCTATTGTGAGTTTATGAGAATAGCAGTTCTGTCATGTTCAGAAGAGTGTTTTGCTTTGGTCCTCTCTTGACCTCTTGCTCTTATAGTCTTTTTCTCCCCTCCTCCTTGATGGTCCCTAAGCCTTGGGGTAGAGTTTTATGTAGTATTGATAAATCCCATTTGGGCTGGAGATTGGGCTCAGAGTTATGAGCACTTGCTTCTCTTAAAAGAATACCCAGGTTCACTTCCCAGCACCCACCCAATTCCAGGGTTCTCTTGTTCTGCCTCCTCAGGCACATATATGCAGACAAAACACTCATACCCATAAAATAAAAATAAAAAAATAAGTAGAATAGATGGTGCATTGTGACTGAGCATGCCACCAACACTCCTGATCAGGTGTGAGCTTCTACTACTAGCCACTGCACAATTCCTCCTGATTTGATCTGAGATTTGAGAGCTTCACTAATCTGTGAGTAGAGAGATACAAATTAGAGAGCAAGTTGATATTATGTTCATTTAGCAAAATAATAGTAATGGGTTCATCCCTGGGTCATGTGTGCTTCCCAGCCACGAATTATTGGCCATATTTACAGTACTAGGTAGTGTTTCTCCCTGTATAGCAGGCCTTAAATCCAATGAGGAAACTGTTGGCTATTCCTGTAGATGGAAGTTTCTGTCTTGCCTGGTCCCTCAGCTGTTCATTTCAAAATAAACATACAGAGGCTTATATTAATTATAAACTGTTTGACCTATAACTCAGGCTTATTACTAACTAGTTCTTACAACTTAAATTCACCTATAATTCTTATCTGTGTTTAGCCACATGGCTTGGTACCTTTTTATTATCATCTTGCTTCCTCTACGTTTGGCTGGTGACTGTGTCTCTACCTTTCCTCTTCCCAGAATTCTCCTACTCTGCTTGCCCCACCTATACTTCCTGCCTGACTACTGACCAAACAGCATTTTAGTAAAACAATACGAGTGACAAATCTTTTTTTTTTTTTTTTAATTTTTCGAGACAGGGTTTCTCTGTAGCTTTTGGTTCCTGTCCTGGAACTAGCTCTTGTAGACCAGGCTGGCCTCGAACTCACAGAGATCTGCCTGCCTCTGCCTCCCAAGTGCTGGGATTAAAGGCATGTGCCGCCACCACCCAGCCTCGAGTGACAAATCTTTACAGAAACTTCCATCTACGCAATTGCTTTATCAACCCTAAGCCATACATGTATGTGTGTTATTGTTGTTTTGTTATTGCTCTTTTCTTGTTAATGGAGTCAAATCCAGGGTGTCTCTGCTTGACAAATGATCTATCACTATGCTATATCCTCAGCCCCTGTCTACATTCTCACCTTTTGGATATGCATGTCCTCTTAAAGAATTAGCATATCAATAAAGTAAAACACTTCCTTTGGAATTTGATTGAGAATAAAAATGTTTCATTAATAACACTTTTAATGAATGGGTGTGTTGGCACGCCTTTTAACCACAACAGAGGTTAGGGAGGCAGAGGCAGGCAGATCTCTGAGTTGAAGGCAAACCTGACTTTATAAATTCTAGGGCAGCCAGGGCTCTATAGAGAGACATAGTCTCAAAACAAGACACTTAATGACTATTTTACATGTTTATATTCTTGTGCCATGTTTTCCTTAACATTTTCTCATTGTTTGCCAAGTGTGTTAATATTTGAGAGAATTCTAGGAGAATCACTTAAGTCTTGATATAAAGTCTTGCCTGGGCATTAGAAGAACCTGTTCCTAAGAAGAAATAATTTTAGGCGTTTAATGCATTTCTTAGTGCCAATTTTTGAGCTAAGACAGATACTCTATTGGTAATTGAATTTACATAATCTTGAAAAGATTACATTTTGATCAAATTTAATTTAGTTTATATAGGTGACTAAGATTTGTCTGTCAGTGCTTTAAAACCTGGACTTTGTCAGACTTTAATTTTTAATTTTTTTAGACATGTAGCAGTAAATTAGCAACAATAAAAATAATCAGGAGAAACAACCTAATAAATCAGCAGAAGATTTTTATCCTGAAATCAAGTTTATTTGACAAATTTGAACACTAGTTTAATTTAATCTCTAAAGCAGACGTATGCAGGGAATGATGGTTGAGTACTGTTGAGAGAGAAGAAACAGGAAATGGAGTGGCTTTTAGTGACTTATACCTGCCAGGAGCAGAGTTAGAGCTGTAAATCTGAACAGTTGGACATCCACCATATTTAACAGCAGATTTTAAAAGTATATGTCTTTTGAATTGGAATAGGTATGCAAATTAAAATATCTTAGTGGGTTTTCCCCCTCTACTACCTGACAAATACTTATTGAATTTTCTTTCTTAGAATTAACCATAACAACCATGCATCCCACCATTCAGAAGGCACAGCCAGGAGCATTAGGAGTTCAAAGTCATCATCATTTGCTTTGATTTCAGAGATAATACAGTAATTAAGGATATGAAATGTAGATACCCTTCTTGGTTAAAAGTCTGGTTCTGCTGCTTGCTAGCTATTGGCTCCAGGGCAGGTATGATAATTGTTCTGTACCTGTGAGCTCATGATGATGACGGTCACCTTTTAGTGTGCTTAGTGAGCATGAGCATGAAGTCTCTTTTCAGGATGACACAGATATATTCTTTTTTTTTTTTTTTTTTTTTTGGTTTTTCGAGACAGGGTTTCTCTGTGGTTTTGGAGCCTGTCCTGGAACTAGCTCTTGTAGACCAGGCTGGTCTCGAACTCACAGAGATCCACCTGCCTCTGCCTCCCGAGTGCTGGGATTAAAGGCGTGTGCCACCACCGCCCGGCCGACACAGATATTCTAAGACTGGTATATGGTAATAGCTAAGTCCTCTGTAAATTTAATTAAAAATTACTAGATTGTACATCTCCTGTGTGGATTCTATTCCAGTAAAACTTTTTTTCTTTCTTTTTTCTTTTCCTTGAGACAGGTTGTCAGTATGTAGCTCTGGCTGTTTTGAAACTTGCCATATAGACCAGGCTGGCTTAAAACTCACAAAATGCCTGCCTCTCACTGAGTCCCGGGAATAAAGGTGTGTGTCATCGTGCCTGATGCCCAAGGAGGCCAGAAGGCATCGAGATGCCCTGGAATTGGAGTTACAGGTGGTTGTGAACCACCATATGGGTACTGGGACTTGAACCTGGGTCCTGAAGTCATCAGTCAGTGCTCATAACTGTTGAGCCATCTCTTCAAACACAATTTATTGTAATCCCTAGCTGTTAAGGCTGTTACAGTCTTCTTGTACACTCCTCTGGGTATTCATACTCATTAGACAAACTTCACATTTGGAAAAGATGCCATGTCCCCACCACTGTAAACCTACATCCTCTAAGTGATTTTCTTTTCTCTGTCCTCTCAACCCAATCAAATGCTGGCCATGTTTGTAACTTTCTAAAAACACCTTTGTTTAGATCCTTGGATGCCCATTGAACAGAAACTTGAAACCTCAGATCATCGTCCTATCGTAGCAGAGCCTCAACCTATCCTTGGCCTGGGGAGGAGCCAGCCCATATGCTGTGGAGATGAACGGGGAGCAGCAGCTGGATGCAGGTATCGGTTCTGCTAAACCCCTCTCCAGAGTGCAGATGCCTGTGTCACTTTGTCTGACTTGTCTTTTCTACCACTAAACTAACAGCCCTTTGAAGTCATACAGTTTTCATTGCTGTCTCTGGGCCTGGCACTAGGGACTACAACTACTGTTTGCTGAAAATAAAAAAAGTTTTTATTAACAGGCCGCATTTTCTACATAATTGTACTTTGCTGATTACTTTATAATTGCTTTTAAATATTTTGAATTCATAGGAAGTTGCAAAGATAGTGTCAATAGGTTCCCATGTTACCCTTCATTCAGTTTCTCTCATGTAACTGTTATATAAAATATTTTATGGGCATTGATAAGGTTCCCTGGAACTGGAATTAGAGACAGTTGTGAGCCACCATGTGAGCTTCCTCTGGAAGAACAGTCAGCTCATTTAACCACTGAGCTATCTGTCCAGCCCCCTCACTATACTTTTTAATCTGCTGTCTTTGTAATTTTGCCATTTAAAGATGCCTGCCTCATGAATAAAGTTAGTATATGACCATTTGACGTTTTTCCCCGAAATAACTTTTGATGAGTTGACACTCTTGCATGTCAAAGTTTATTAACTTTAAAAAACTAATTAATTACTTAATTTTTATGTATAATTTGTGTGGTGTGAGCATGACATGGCTTACATGTAAAGATGGGAGGACAGCTTGGGAGAGTAGGTTCTTGTCTTCCACCATGTGAGCCCTAATGATTGAACTCAGGTAGCAAATGCCTTTGCCTCTTGAGCCATCTTGCCAGCTACAATTTGTTACTTTGTATTATGAGTCACATTTCATGAATGTATTGTACTTATGTTTTCATTCATTTTGATTTTTCTAATTTTTAGCTATTGCAAATAAGTTATTGTCAGTAATTATGGATACAGTAATCTATTTTGGGAGAAAAAATGCCAATGAGTGTATTTTTTGTCTTAACATTTTTTATTGATATTTATTGAGCTCTATATTTTTCTCTGCTCCCCTTCCTGCCTCTCCCCTTCCCCTTCAATCCTCCCCCAAGGTCCCCATGCTCCCAATTTACTCAGGAGATCTTGTCTTTTTATACTTTCTACTTCCCATGTAGATTATGTCTATATAACTCTTAGTGTCTGCATTGTTGTCTAAGGTCTCTGGGATTGTGGTTTGGATGGAATATACTATAGATGTCTGTTAAGTCCATTTGAGTCATAACATCTGTTAGTTCTCTTATTTCTCTGTTCATTTTTTGTCTGATTGATCTCTCCTGTGGTAAGAGGGGAGTGTTGAAGTCTCCCACTACTAGTGTGTGTGGTTTAATATATGATTTAAACTTTAAAAGTGTTTTTTAATACATTTATTTATTATGTATACAATATTTTGTCTGTGTGTATGCCTGAAGGCCAGAAGAGGGCACCAGACCTCATTACAGATGGTTGTGAGCCACCATGTGGTTGCTGGGAATTGAACTCGGGACCTTTGGAAGTGCAGGCAATGCTCTTAAACGCTGAGCCATCTCTCCAGCCCTAAAAGTGTTTTTTGATATATGAGGGTGCCCTTGTATTTGGGGCATAGATGTTCAGTATTGAAATTTTCTCTTGATGGATTTTTCCTGTGACTAATATAAAATGTCCTTCTTTGTCTCTTTTGACTGATTTTAGCTTGAAGTCTATTTTGTTAGATATTAGAATAGCTACACCCGCTTGTTTCTTAGGTCCATTTGATTGGTATATTTTTTTCCCAACCTTTACTCTGAGACGATGTCTGTCTTCGAGGTTGAGATGCATTTGTTGTATGCAGAAGAGGGATGGATTTTGTTTTCATATCCAATCTGTTAGCCTGTGCCTTTTTATGGATGAGTTGAGTTCATTTACATTAAGGGATATTGATGACCAGTGGTTGCTATCTCCTGTTAATTTAGTTTTCATCATTGGTGATGTTAATTTGTGCATTTTTTTTTCTGGATTTGCTGTAATGAGATCATCAATTTTCTGTGTTTTTGTTGGTGTAGCCATCTTCCTTGGGTTGGAGTTTTCCTTCTAATATTTTGTGTAGGTCTGGGTTTGTGGCTAGGTATTGGTCAAATCTAGATTTGTCATGGAATATCTTGTTTTGTCCTCCTATGGTGATCAACAGTTTTGCTGGGTGTGGTAGTCTGGGCTGGCATCTGTGGTCTCTTAATGTCTGCATAATGCTTGACCATGACTTTCTGACTTTCATTGTTTCCACTGAGAAGTCAGGTGTATTCTTTTTTGTTTGTTTGTTTAATTAAATCATTGCCTGGCCCAATATGTCTAGCCTCTTATTGGTTAACTCTCACATCTTGACTTAACCCTTTTCTAATAATCTGCATAACACCATGAAAGATTTAGCATGTGTGACCTGGCAGTTCCATGGCAGATCTCTGTCTGCCCTTCTTCCCAGCATTCAGTCTGTCTACTCCGCCTGCCTAAGTTTTGACCTATCAAAAGGCCAAGGCAGTTTCTTTATTCAGCCAGTAAAAGCAACACATAGACAGAAGAACCTCCTACATCATTTCCCCTTTTTCTGTTTAAACAAAAAGGAAGGTTTTAACTTTAACATAGTGAAATTACATATAACAAAACAGTTATCAAGCAAGAACTACAGTTACCATATTTATATCTACTTTATCTTGTATCATATCTAAGGAAAACTATAATAATAACTATTCGTTCTTCAACTCCATCAAAGACTCCAGAAGGATATAATATTACTTAATTAAACAGGAAGTACATTGTAAGCAATTTCCAAAACTCTAGAAATGACAAAGACATCTTGCTGCCTGTACAGTCATCTAAAGTTCTTCTGTACCATCGGGGCATCCATCTTTAGCCTACGGGCCCGTAGTATCCAGCAGACATTTTCATGAAGCAGAAAATTTTAAAGACAGTTCAGTCATTTTTTTCTGTGTCCTGCAGAATGTCTTGCAGACTCTTTTATGAATTAGGAACTCTGAAGGATCTTCTCATCTTTAGGCAAGTTCAGCAGTCATCTCTCCACAGGTTCTTCATGTCCAGTTCATGCATCAGTCCAGGCAAGAGCAGTTTCTTGCCCAGATGGCTAACCAACTCCATAAGGAGCCTCTTTGGTGCCCATCTTCCTCTTGAAGTAGATTAGTGCTTTCAGGTACAGACGTGTCTCATGGTCATGAAAAGTCCTAAGTTATTAAATCATTTTAAATGCCATATTATCTATATTATATCTAAATGAAATGTAAAAAAAATTTATAAACAATATTTGGGAATATGGGTGCAGTTTTTTTCTCTCCAAACTGCTATGTGCTGTATGGGGGCGCTGTTAATTAGGTCTTTCATAGTGTATCCTATGTGCTAGGTTAATCTCAGTCAGCAGTTGATAAAGTAAGTTTTTGAGGGTGTTTAAGGAAACCTTTCAGGAGGGCGTGGTCTGTCATATCATATTGGTCCAGAAGCAATCCACAGGGTCTCATCCTCTATGAAAACAAAAGAAGAACCACTTTTCCAAAACACCATATTCTTATACCCTAATTCTGAAGTCATATTACCTTTATAATATCCATGCTGGTTTAGCTTAGCATCCCACACAATGAAACGTGTCTCTGCGATGTGACTGATCTAATGGGAGCTCACCAAGGCCAGCTGGACTGGGACTGAACGAGCATGTGATCAAACTGGACTCTCTGAATGTGGCTGACAGACTGAGAAGGCAACAACTGGGTTTTGATTCTACTGCATGTACTGGTTTTTTGGGAGACTAGTCTGTTTGGATGCTCACCTTCCTAGACCTGGATGGAGGGGGAGGACCTTGGAGTCCCCACAGGGCAGGGTACCCTGACTTGTCTTAGGTCTGGAGAGGGAGGGGGAGGGGAGTAAGAGGGAAATAGGAAGAGGGGAGGAGCTGGAAATTTTTAATAAATAAAAAATAAATAAATGAAACATCTCTCTGTACTTAGCTCCTTCACAGTCAAAAAATTTAAAGAAAACACAATAATACACATAATCCAGACTCTGTGAATTTTCCATTTTTACGTAGCTTATTTTTTTAATCTCTGATTATCTGTACTCTGTTTCTTTAAAGACTTTATCCTTTTTTTTAAAGCACTAACTTTATTTTATGACTCTCTTATACTCTTTTCCTTCTCTCTCCCAAGCCTCCGTACATTTATTCAACATTGTGACCCATTTAGAAGTCACTTATGTCTGAATCTGTCCTATTCTGAATCTGTAATCCTTTACTGTCCAGGAACACTTTTGCTTTGCACTTTTAGAATGCTAAACTTTTAAGAATCTAAGCTGCGACAATCCCAGGTCAAATACAGGTACTGCCTGCTTGCCCCACCTAGTCCAACATGGCGGAACCGCTTGTGCCTCTGAGCCGTGTGCACTGCACCGCTGGCGTAGCAAAGCTGCTTGTGCCTGTGAGTCAGTTGTGCCTCTGAGCCACGAGCAGTGCCTCCCTTTCAGGCATACAGCAAGTCCAGTTGCCATCAAACCATAGCACTTTACTTACAAACCCCATCCAAATGCTCTGACTCCTGCAAGAGACAGTAGCTGTGCTAGCAGCATACCCCAGAAAGCCAGCATTTTAAAACTGTGCGGCTTTTTTTCCCACTACAGCTGAATCAGGAAAATCTCCCTTAAAGCAGCTGAGGCAAGCCGCCAGCAAACAGCAAGAAGCTGTGTTAAACTCTATATTCTTTTTAAAGCTCTCTCACATTTTATGTGGAGTCAGTTTACCACGTTGGAGCATCAATCTGTTGTGTGAGAGGGCCTGCTTTAGGTCCTGGCCACCCTGCTAGTTTACACCCGAAATAATCACACAGAAATTGTATTAATTAAATCACTGCCTGGCCCATTATGTTTAGCCTCTTATTGGCTAACTCTCACATCTTTATTTAACCTATTTCTAATAATCTGTATAACACCACGAGGTCGTGGCTTACTGGGAAAGATTTAACATGTCTGACCTGGCAGCTCCATGGCGGCTCTCTGTCTGCCCTTCTTCCC